TTCTGTTTTCGATTTGCTAGGTAAATAGTCGCCATCGAAGACAAGATACGGCGTGATGCCAAAGTGCTTGAGCATTCGAACACGGCTCATGGCGAAGTCAACGAATCTGAAGCCATTAGTTGGTTGTTCATCTTGGTCAAGCTGATCCATTTACTTTGTCGTTGGCTTGTCCAAGGCCAATTCCACAGCACAAGTAACAGTCCCTCGGTGGAGCCAACCATAAGCATCGACGCCAATGGTCTGACCTGAGAACTGCTTCAGGCTGCATGGCTTATGGATTGACTTCAGCAATGGGAGAAGGCCTTGGATCAAGTTAGCTGTTCGCCCTGTCTGATTGTATTTGCCTCCCTCTGTTGCATACCTTGAATACCCATGTTGACGCCTTCTTGTCCACGGACCGGGTTCGTTATTGTATGCAGGTCATTTTGAGACCACAATGGTACAGTATGGACCTTTTCCCGCGGGGTGTTCAGGCTAAAGCTGGTGTTGAACGAGCGTTAGACAAGTCTCGACGGTGCAGAAGTCGCGTCGTAGTTGCTCGGACGCGTCGGCGAGAAACATGACTCGTGCCGTCCAAAGTCTCGAACCATTCGAGTCTCCACCAAAAATGTTCGGTATCGACATCCCACCTTGACACCCACAATCGCTGTGCAGCATTCACACTTCCGTCTGACTGTACAAAGATCGAATAGCCAGCGTGCACCCCAAACCTATATCGAAACACAAATAGCTTGCATTAAGTCCTGGCCAACTCTTGCCACCACAATGCCGATCGCAAAATCCTTTTCCAAGATCTCGAAGCTCGTGAATAAGAAAAAGGGAAAGACACACGCTTTACACGAGCACTCGCGCGACTCGCGAAGACTTCAGAGAGCTTTGGGACGAGATGTGAAGCTAGCGACCAAAGTTCAAGAGAGGGAACGAGCGAATCAAGTACATCGTACGTAGAGACTTCCTGTCAGCAGAAAAAAAAAGTGTATACACCAAAGAAGGCTAAAAATGCTGATCGCTTCCCGTAGTCCAACGCCTATCCATCCTCCAAACCTCCGCCCTCGGTCGCGATCCACTCACACCCTACACAACCTCCGAGATCCTCTCAGAAATTCAGGCAATCCTCCATCGCAGCGACGAAGCCCTTGCCCAAATAAAAGCAGAAAGAAGGGCCGGCCGCCCACCGTCGACTCAGGAAATCCAGCTCTTAACGCTGATTGAGAATAATAAGAAAGAGCTTGCAAGTGGATTCTGGATGCCAGATATGGCAGATGTGAAGAATCTGGAGAAGTTGAGGGAGTGGGGCGGTCAGTGGGTTGGCCTGAATGTGTTGAAATTTGTGCGGGTATTTGAGGATGGGAGGATTGTTGAGAGTAGTTTCCCGCCCAAGGGAAGGTCTTGATGTTACAGGTTGGACAGGATTAGAAGAGAAGCTTTGAAAGTCGGAGGCAGCCTAATGATAGCTGTTTGCAGCAGGACATTCAGCAGAAGGAAATAATCCGAAGGGATGACAGGAGAGAATGTAGAAGGCTTTTGCTCGTGTAGAGGAAGACTTCAGCGACCATGTCGTTGGCCATACTCGATTTCATCTGGCACTGAGATGTCGGTTGGAGATCGCAGCATCAAGCTGCTAATGGGCCTGGACTTGTGGTGCTTCCATCCCTGCGAATTTGGGCCGATTGTCCAACTTCTTGATGGTAGAAGGGTAGAGGAAAAGTAGTCATGATCCGCATTGGAAGCAGAAAATCGCGTGATGCCCGAGTGGCTCAATGCATAGAATTTTGGTAATCCCTTCGCCAGGGTCTCATCTTGTCCAGACTCGATTGCGATAGATCAATAGCGATGAACGTTCATGAATCCAGATCGAAGCAGTTGCTCTCGACCTCTTGATTCATTGAGTACTGACAGAGTGAGAACAAGCCTGTAAAATTTCTGGGAGTTCTAAATTGATCGCGTCCAATCATAATGCGTGCGTTGATCGTGGTCTTCATTCATGAGAGCATAAGTCTCATCTCTTATGTTTTTCTTCTGACATTTACTCTCACGCCTCGTGTGCTGCAGAAAAGAGCCTCCCGCTCGAACGGCCATGTACACCAGACGATACGTGAGAGGTTACAAAATCCAATCAAAGTGAAGCATCAGCTTGTGATTACACGGGCTATCTTTCGTGGGACTCATAATCCCTTTCCTACCGGGACCTGAAATGAACTCCAGATACACCCAGAGCGCAAAGAGGAGATGACGTTTAGTTGGTACAGAAAGTTTGAGCTCTTGTCCCCCACACCATTGAGCAGCGTAGATAGATTGCACAATCATGATTTCCGGCGTCCTCGACTCTAGTCTTCGAGAAATCCCTTTAGATTCTTGAGCCAGTTGACATACTCCTTCTGCTCCTTGTAGTCAATGTATTCTGGCACGAATGTTGCCAATCTCGTGTTGATGCCACGATCTCCAAGATACTTTTCCAACAGGACCTGCAAATCCTCGTCCAAGTTCCCGAATGGTGGGCCAGCATAGACAGACTTGCGCTTGTATTCCTGCTCAGCTCCCGAGGGCTCAGCGAGATCGGCATCAGTAAAGAAGTATACGTTGTCGATCAAGAGATCTCCATCCTGGGCGATTGCCTCAATCAACATAGCACCTTGTTGTCCGTCTCTCGTGATCTTGACGTTGATTCGTGCGTTGTAGCTGGTTTCCTCGTTGAATTGGTCGGCTTCGTCATCGAGTTCTGGGCGATCAGCTGGTGAGGCGTTGTCTTCTGGCGCCATGCGGACGTTGCCTTCGGATGTGCGGCCCTGATTCACGGAGCCCTTGGTGTTGGCACCACCGGATTGTTCTGATTCGAGCGGGAAGTCTTCCTCCTCGTCACCGTAAAGGGATCGATCGCCTTCGGGTTCTTGCGGTTCGTTGTTGGTTAGATCGGCGATTGTGAAGCTTATGCGGATGTTCTCGTCGTTGTATTTGCGTGTCAGAATAACGTCCTCAATGCCAGGCGTATCGTGAATCTAATGACGAATGAGACACGGCCAATTGAGATAGAAAGCACAGATTCATACCTCGAATGGGCTGTCCTCGAGGAATGCCTTAATAGTCTCTTTTCCTGGGGCCTCGTCGAATTCAGATGTCTCGATATCATATTCTGACTTCAGTTTCTCCACTAGTAGCTCATTGCCTTCTCGCTTGTCAGAGCTTTGTATTCACCTGCTTGAAGACGCCCTACCTTCTTTCCGTGCCGACGACGTCGAGAATGGAGCTATCCATCGCTGAGCTGATGGCTGTATTCGAGGTGCGAGAATGGGATTTCTGGGGACGAATCGGGAAGGCGATGAAAGTCTTGAGATTGAGCGAGGTGCTGCTCGAGCAAAGGACCTTAATGACAGCATGGTGAATTGAATATCGAGTCGCTGAACAGGATGCGCGTTGGGATGTTGCCGCAACAATTTTTCAGCAGAACGAAACCTGTGCAATGCTCTAGATCGATGACGGAATGTTTAGTTCCGCCCGAAGCTTTTGAACTTCTTTACTTTGGAAGTCTCAAGAAAATCTATCACTAGCTACAGCTGGGAAAACTCCTGAAGTACTCGAGAGCAGTATGGCGACCGCTTCGCCTGCCAGCACGGAGAAGAAAAAGGTACGTCCTGTTCATATCCACATGCGCGCATGTAGATCTAACCACGGTCATAGCCCAGTGCTTTGCGCTCCATTATTGCTGGTTCGACTGCTGGAGCTGTGGAGATTGGTTCGTCGTAGCAACGCGGCTACGAAGCATATATACTGATAATTTCCATAGCTGTGACATATCCTGCCGAATGTATATATGACCCGTTTCTGCGAACCTCAGCATCATAACTAACAAGAAGTCTGCTGATAGTCGCGAAGACAAGAACGCAACTCAATCGAAGACTAGCAGATGGAAAGAAGCTGCCATGGCCTCCGTTCGGCAAACAATGGTACGCCGGCTGTACGACGCTCATAGCCGGAAACTCGATCAAAGCAGGCATAAGTAGGTTGGTGCTGTTGGCAGAGACGATCGCTCAAATGCTGATAGTACTCTAGGATTCGTGGCCTTTGACCAGTACAAATCTATGCTTGCTGCAGCGGATGGCACAGTATCAGGGCCGGCGACCGTCATAGCAGGTTTCTTTGCAGGAGCAACTGAGTCGCTGTTCGCCGTGACTCCCTTCGAGAGTATCAAGACGCAATTGTGAGAACTAAAATCCGGTCTAGCGTGTCGCATGTTGGCTGACCCGAGGCCTACAGAATCGACGACGCGAAAAGCAAGAACCCACGAATGCGAGGCTTTCTCCACGGCTCCCGTTTGATTGCGCGCGAACAAGGCATTCGGGGCTTCATGAAAGGCTTCGTCCCAACTACCGCACGTCAGGCTGCCAACTCGGCTGTACGTTTCAGCAGTTACACAAGCTTGAAGCAATTGGCACAAAGCTACGTGGCACCCGGAGAGAAGCTCGGCGTGTTCAGCACATTTGGTCTCGGAGCTATGGCAGGAGTAATCACAGTGTATACCACAATGCCTCTGGATACGGTCAAGACTCGCATGCAGTCGCTCGGATCGGCAAAGGAATACAAGAATAGCTTTGCATGTGCAGGCAAGATCTTCAGAGACGAAGGTTTACTGACATTTTGGTCGGGAGCTTTGCCACGACTAGGAAGATTGGTGTTCAGTGGAGGCATCGTCTTCACTATGTGAGAGCAGCGATTCCTTCTCACATGGTTATTGCTAACACTTATCAGGTACGAAAAATCTATGGATTTCATGGATAGAATAGATCCGAAGCGAGAATACATATAGAGCGGAGAGAAGCTGCAAATAGCTTATATGCCTCAGCAGCTCCCTTGACAAGAATGTGCCCCAGAAAGGAAATTCCAGCTGATCCAAAATCCAGACTGTCAACCGCACTATCTCAAAGATTGTGCACATTGCCAGCAAAATCCAAGCCTCACATGTGTCCAGAAACATATACCTGTCCAGCCGAAAAATTGCCAGAAATGGCAATGTGGCGGAGTGGTTATCGCGATAGACTAGAATCACCCAAGGTCGCGCTATTCACCCATCCATAACTGGAGACGGTCTGCGTGGCTCAGTAAGACTATCTATTTCCTTCGGGAGCACAGGTTCGAGTCCTGTCATTGTCGTCTGACACTATCCATTCGATTGGACTAAGTTCTTTTTTTCTCTGCAGTGCAAGTACTCTGGTGGGAAGTGCTCATCTTTGTGGGTGGGTGGGTCGGCGTCGGCAAACCGTTGGCGGGGCTCTGCTAGGGTCGCATGAGGTAAGTATGTGGAAAATGAAGAAACAATTGAGTAGTCGGCAGCGAAGAAATGGTACTGCCGAATTGATCGGGCTGAAGACTGATACTTTAAGAAGTTTTTTAGCCTGCGCAAAGGATGGCGAACTGGCTATAGGCGGCGGATGTTTCCTCTAGGCTCGCCCGTCTCAGCCTCGTGTCCTGAGTACATCTGGAACACAATATCATCACATCTATATTTCATTTGTTCGAATATGAGATCTGTGAAGTACGAACTGCTTCTCGAATATAGGTGGCGATAAAATGCCCGATTGGAGCCAGCTGCTCACATACGATGCTCCCTGATCACGACCTCATCATCCGCCTTCTCGAAATCCAACCATTAGATAATTTCGATGCTCTACTTGAGGAACATCGGCAAGGGTCGACCTTGACCAACATGAATACCCTTCATATGGCCGATCTTCGTGGCGGAGCCACGAGTTTGCAATAGCAGGAATCGCACGCCATCGTGAGGATATCAGACGTGGTTTCGTCGTTCTCAAGGACTTTTCTTGATCGCTCCGCAAGCAACACAAACAGACTTCCTGGGATGAGGTCAGGGAAGGAAAGAGGTCATACTACCTTACTTCCTCGAGCTATAGTGGAAACGCAGGTCTTTTGCAGTCTCAACAACGAGCCAGGAGCAGGCAAATGATGTTCGTGGTCTTACCAAGGTAGGGCCCTCATGGGATATTAGATTGAGAACGATGTTGGGCAATTCTTTTCAACTCAAGAAACACTCGTTGGGTCTCACTTAAAGACACTGGAACTCTGTCGTCCCTCCGCCTTCCCCCTCTGATAAATATCACTCAACTCAGTATACAAACCCTTCACCCTCGCAATCTCCTTCACCCACTTCTCTTTCTCAGCTCCATCCTCAATCTCCTCCAACAAATCAGCCACAGACCTAGCTCTGAAAAACTTATTCGTTCGATTATACAACGGCTTCCCCCTCAAACTCTCCTCAGTCTCCCCTTCGCCCCTGACCTGATACACACTCGTCAAGATATCGATATCATACGGAATCGAGAACAAATCCCTGCTATCCTCATACGTAAACAGGTAATAGAACTCGTTGAAACCGCTCCAAGTGATGCCCGACAGACAGAGCGAGCAGGGTTCGTGGGTGGCGTAGAATACACAGTTGGCCGTCGCCGGGCGCGTGCCGGGATCGGGGTTGTCGCGGAAGAAGGTTTGGATGCAGTTTATTTCGCCGTGGAGGAGTGGGGAGGTGCGTTCGTCGTTTGTGGCGATGGTTATTGGGGACAAGGTTTCGCGAGAGAGGATTGCGGCGCCGAAGAGTTTGCAGCCCGTGGAGATTTTTGTGCGGGTTAGGGGGATTATGGAGGCTTCTGTTGTGGTGAGGAGGGCGGAGATGAGGGCGGTTGGGGAATGGGTTTTTGCCATTTTGAGCTTTTGTGGTGGTTTTTTAATGTTGACGAATGACGATGGATAATGAGTAGGAAAGAGTTGTGTTAGGAACGAGGACTTCCTTGGATGAAATTATAAAAGCGAATCATCGACTAGCTTGAGAGATTACTGCTACATCCGAATGTCACGACTATGGATTAGGACTCCGTCTTATGGTTCTCATACCATGGGACTGGGGTGATAGGAGTTCGCCGAAAAGCACGAATTTACGGCCACCTCCTCGGCCGCGAGCTTCATAGTTGCCATTAAGACAAGAATTTGGGAGGGTTTGGCGTAGATTTCTTGGTTACTTGAATGGTAATTAGACTGCGATCGGATTAGTGATGCGTGATGTATCTTAGACTTTTTGGAGTGGAAAGTTCATATCGAAAATCGAACTCGAGATCCGCCCCACTTTGGACCCTGGCGGTCAAAGACGGCAAGTAAGGTCCGTCCAAAGCTTGCCCTCGAACTCATCTCCATCTCCCAAGCTCTTCCCCAAGATGTACACTTCCATGATCATAAGGCAAAACTTCTAAGAGTACAATCTCCAGATCCAACCTGACGTTCCTAAATCTTCTCCGAAGCCTCACGAAAGGCCTAACCTCGTCCTCGTCCTCGTCCAACATGGCATGGCGAAGCTCCGGCGCGACGAACAAAGACCTGATCAACAACCTCTTCAAAAACGGCTTGATCAAAAGCCCCCGAATAAAAGACGCAATGCTAGCCGTAAACATCCTCCCCATTTTCCAATTGCCCAAACATCTGAACTCACTTGATCCTTCAAATCCCTCCCACCACACCACCATCTCAATCCCGCAAACGCACACTCACGATGGAAAACACCACACACTCACAAATCCTTCAGGTCGACCGCGCCCACTACGCCCCTCACACCCCCTACTCAGACAGCCCCCAAACAATCGGCCACTCAGCAACAATAAGCGCCCCACACATGCACGCCCTCGCCCTCGAATCCCTCCTCCCCCACCTCACATCCTCGAGCAACGTCCTAGACATCGGTTCCGGGTCCGGGTACCTAACCCACGTCCTCGCGCACCTAACCTCCCCAAGCGGGACCGTGACGGGCATCGATCACATCCCCGCTCTAACCACTCTCGCGGTCGAAAACATGTCCAAATCGACCTCCGGACGCGGATTATTGGAGAGCGGGCGCGTGAGATTCGTGACGGGGGACGGACGGCGCGGGTTTGCGGAGAGGGCTCCGTATGATTGTATACACGTCGGTGCTGCAGCGGCGAGACATCATGATGAGTTGATTGAGCAGTTGAAGAGTCCCGGACGGCTGTTTGTACCGGTCGAGGAGGAGGAGGAGGAGGGGGTGCAGTATATATGGGTTGTGGACAAGAAGGAGGATGGGAGTGTGGTCAAGGAGAGGACGATCGGTGTGAGGTATGTGCCGCTTTGTGATGCGACTGGGGATGGAGAGGTGTGAGGGGCTGGGACTGCTGATGGTTTGGTGATGAATGTGGAGATGGGTGTGACTATGAGGTTCGAAATCGTGATTCGAGCAGCATGGAATCATAAAGATCCGCACGCTCGAGCTGGCTTCGTATCTTACATTGTAGGATAAGATTCATGGACAAACATACGAGAGCGGTCTGAAGCGAAACAAACGGGTCGCAGGACCGCGTCGGCCAGAAATATCAAATTGCAGAAAGACGAGGTGCCAGCGAGGAGCACAGGAATATCAGCATAAGAGCTTGAGAGCTGTTCAGCTAGATCCCGGAGGATGTGGAAGTGCTGATGACAAGGAGAGAAGCACGCTCACGCAGATTAGTATTTTCCAGAAGCAGAAGCACGACGAAACAAATCGAGTCTAACAGGAGTCTCTGCTCGCAAAGTCCCAGGGTATTCTTAATCCAGTATCTTACATAGCGACACCTGCGCCCGCATATTCGTGTCAATGATCACAATCGCAGGAATATTCTTCCCGCATCCCGTCTATGGTATCTCCTCGCTGCTCATGTGACGAAAGCTCCATGAAAAACGCAAACAAATGCTCAAAGAAATCTTGCTCATAAGGACAATGGGCTCGCTCTCATCATGGTCTTTGTCCTTAACCTCATCTGTATTCCCGCCCTGGCTTCCAGATAGCCACTATCCCGCCGCATGATGAATCCCACTAGCCCCGGTCGCAGGAAACGTATCGATCAAGATGACTGCGCAAAATCCGTATGCCGTGTCTCTTCATAATGTTGCGCCGCGCCCTTTTCCCCCGTGCCCTGCCACCCACACGTATTGCACTTGATACCAAACTTCTTCGTATCCGTATAATAATCGCCACTCTTAAGTATCTCCCCAATCTCCAACCCCCTCATCAAAATCTCATCATCGTACGTCGCGAACTGCGCCACATCGATTTCCCCAGGTCCATCCTTGCCCAGACAATTCTCAACGAGACAGTCCCAATGGATACCGGAATAAATCAGATAAGAGCGCTGTTTGGAACCGACCCCCTCGTTGAATTTTTGGACGGAGCCGTCGGAGATGTTGAGGGCGTAGATTTCGATGTTGTAGTGTTCGGCTATGATGCCGATTTCTATGCCGCCGCCCCACGCGTCGGGCGTCTGTATCCATTCGCAGTACCGGTCTGGTTCCTGCTCTAGCACGACCTCGGTGTATTTATCTGGCTGTGCCTGGATCTTTTGGGCGACCAGTGAACGCAGCTCGATCATCGGGTCGATGGCATCTCCGATGACGCATTTTCCAATGGCTCTGAAGAGGCAGGAATTGTCGTCGGGCATGACTCGGTGGATGAGGTAGGAAGATCCCTCGCGGATGGGTAGTTCTGGTGGTTCGATTGGGGATGTTTTGGGCTTTGAGAGTTTGAGAGGTTTGTCTGGGATGCGTGTGGAAGTGGAGGAGAATGGATTCGGTGATATCGAGTCTGCCTGTGACCGTGTGCTTGAGATACCGGTGTTCCTGCTGGCACTTTTCTCTCCTGCTGCTGCTGAAGCAGGAAGCGCTTGTTTGATTCCTCCCGAATTCGCGCCCTGAGCATCGACTTGTAATCGTTCCCCATGCAATTTGAGATCGGTATCGCTGACTTTCGTATTCGATTCGTACGTCGATAGATCGACTGGGTGTGGAGGGAAGCCCTTTTTGAGGACGAAGTTCTTCATCGAGGAGGCGTCGGAGATCTTCTGTGTTAGTTCGCCAACCGTGGCCGAGTCGTCGATAGTGATCAGAGTTCGCCCGAAGGCGCCTTGTAGTGCTATTCTCATTCCGTGATCTGGGCGAGTAAATGAAAGGTGATGAGAAGACAGCGGGCGAGACGAAGAAGATGCTAGTAGTGGTGAATTGTAGCAAGGAAGAAGGATGGAGCGTGGACAATGGTTACGGAAGCTATAATTCGGGCTAGAAGCGCATAGAAATGCAGAGGTCTATAGGTAATCAGAAGGAATTCGGAG